AATACACACCACGCTTTGAGAGTCGTTACACGTTTACTCGTATAAATAGTGTAGAGATATACACGAAAATCCATTTTTCTGAACTCTTATTTTTAATATTGTAGGAAACAAGTCAGTATTTATAATTGTACATGTGTATACATGTAAAAAGTATTTTTTTATTTTACTGCCACATTCGAAATATGTATACAGCTATGAAGGAAAGGGAAACACTGTTTTTTTTCTTTTGCATAACATTACATATTTTGTGTGAGTACAAATTGACACAAATTATAAGAGATAAGGATAATTGCAAAGGCACTCGTAGGTATTTACAATTATAGTCAACTAATTTGTTACACAACTAATTGTATATATTTTTTAGTCTCTTACAATTTTATGGCACTATACATTGTACTATACATTCAAAAGAAAAAAAACAGTGTTTTCCCTTCCTCCATATCTGTATCCATATTTCGAATGTGGCAGTAATATAAAAAATACTATTTAGATAAGATTATTTCTAATTCTTGATAAAATGTAATAATGCTACAAATATCACAACTAGAATATTTATTTGACAAAATAATGTTCTGCAGCGATGTTACAATTCGCTGACACTGCTATCCTCAAATGGCTGATTGCAGAAGATAGTGACATGTTTAGCGCAGCTGCAGTGGTCTTGTTTGCATTTATGTTCTAGATTGCAAGCAGAAGGAAATCACCCCTTTCAAACTGCAAATGAAAGCCATTGCACTACAAGATTTTGAGGATTACATTTATTAGAAAATCTACAACTCATTTTAACTTTTATTCTTGAATATACGCGATAGCAGCGAACTGCTCAGACAGATGTTATTATTGGAGAGATATCAATTTACATCAGCTATTAAAAAGGGTATGTTTTTTATAGCTGATATTGTAACTTCTTATACATGAAAATATCGGTTATATACATATATTGTGTACATACACGACAAGCAAAAAATCAAATATATATTTTTTTCATTTACCATTTACTAGTTACTAACTCTGTAATGATATATTTACTTACATTTGAATGTCTATACAAGTCTCTAATATCTTTATTATTTATTTAATCGTAAATAATCAATAACAAGGATTTAACTCGTTTTTAGGCAGTAGTTGTTTAGGTGGTGTCTACATGTAACTACTGCCTAAATAGAGAGTAGAAAAATGTCTGCATTTCTTTGTTTTATCAAATTATTTTCCAAAATTGTGCCATTTGTGAATAAATTAATTGGAGAGGTAAATTCCCTCAACAGTTTATTAAAGAGCAGCTATTATGAAAAACCATTAGAGTAATTGGAAAACGGATATTAAATAGGGCAACATTAGTCCTATTGTTGATCGTTAATAAAAGTGTTTTCATTCTAAATTCAAAATTTATTCTGAACATAAACCAGAAATATTTTATTAATTATATAGCTTGCATTTATAAATACCAAGAATATTCCAAAACTTAATACAGATTCTAATGTTGTTCATACACAATCGCCATAAATTATAGAAAAAATCATTCGTTATTTATTCGTTCTTATGACAATTTTAATAGTATTATTAGTGACAATAGTATTATTAGTTCAATGTTAAATATATTTCAAATGTTTACTTCATTAGTAAACATTTGAAATATATTTAACATTGAACAACAATCTCCTGTCTAAGAATTGGTTCGATGATGACTTGTAATCATAACTATTGTAGTAGTTATTTGTTCAGTGATCGGTACTTTACTATCATATTTTATTTTATATTTTTAGTAATTCATACCTTTTGTTTTTTGAGTAGTTCACTGTGTTTGTATTTTTACAAGTTTTTCCCGTTTTATTTATTCGAAAACAATGTAATTATACCTATTTTAATTATTTGTTATGTAAAATATATTGTTATATTGTTTTCTTAATATGTAAAGGAAAGAAAAAATCAATATATATTTTTAATCTTTTACCTTGTAGTAACCTAATTAATAGGGTATTATTATCGGCTAATTAATTATCAAAATAATCCAGGACAAATATTTTAATACTACGTAATTGCTTTATTCTTATTATAAAATAACTTAACGAAATACTGAATAATGAATAGAAGATTTTTGGGCGTTATTTTATACATTGTGAAGTAAGCAGATTAACGAATAATTAGTAGTCCTTCTTAGTCAATATCACAATAAATTCTAAATTGTATTTTTAATTCTTTATTTTTTATGGTACCAAATATTTACAAAAATTATACTGACAAAAGATATTGATGTACAAAAGACGGTCTTATCGCAAGCAAGCAATCTCTTCAAAGCAACCTTTGAGTAGAGAAAGAACGACAAAAAGTTATAAATTGTGCAGGAATATTTCAATTTAATTTTAGAAAATAAACTGTAATATGTAGCAACTATGTATAATTAAATAAGGTAATCGGTTTTTATCATTAGAATTATACAATTAATAAACATGCAACGCATTACGAGACAATACAGTTAATTTAAATCTGAACATCAAAGCTGTAAAATGTGCCGAGATTTATATCTAAATCCAGTAATCAATCAAAGTCGGATTATGTAGTTCTCAGAATGAATTTAATGTAGCTTATTATAGTATATTTATGTCACTTGGGGGGAATGGATTTCTAGCAATAAGATTATGTCCCCATTTCTGGTGTTCCTCATCAGATTCACCAACTCTTCATCCAGCCAACCAACAAGATTAGTTCCTATTGATTTTGCCACTATGAACAAATTGACCTGACTTCATGCTTATCCTATCATCCTCCATTGGTGCTTCGACTGTGTACACCGTTAGCGCAGGTAGGTACACCATTCCATTATTATAAACAAGACATTATTAACTACTAAATTATATGATATTAAAAGACAAGAAAAGGTTAAGTATTATATTTATACTGACTATTAAAGTCGACTAGAGAAACAGATTCTTAGATTACAGCCCTAATGCAATATACATTAATATTAATACTAAAAGGCATGCTATGTTCAGGAGGGAACAAGGAAGAGAGCATTGTTCATTTATAATAATAATGGATTTTAATAATTCTATAAGAGTTCTTGCATTGAAAACTTTTAAAGATATATTAAATTGTTATAGAAAAATATTAATATTAAATTCTTCAGACACAGAGTGTTTTATATACAGTTTCTTCAACATAATTAACGAAATACAATTATGCAAAAGCGTTTTATATGATTAAATAATGTCAGTTCTTAATATTAATTCGTAGAACTCATATATTGTAATGTGAAAGATAATTTAATAAATAATTTTGAAATGGTTTAAATAATACAAAATAATTTGAAACAAAACTCGTAACTCTATCTTTTCTTCATTATCTCAATATGAAGTCTTTAAGCTTGGTATAATATTTTCTTGGTGTAATTAAATTAAATATCCTGAGGAATGAAATAGAAGCCAGTTTATGTACAACACTGATTAAAATGTTAAAAGAAAGAATAATTAATACGTCACACATTTTTTAAAATAAGGATTTCAACTTTTTTTATTATTTATAATTCGATACTGTTCGTCTAAACTGCTTTGTTACTGTAATATCATTGAGGTATACGAACGGAAAAGAAAGCTAATCAAAATCATAAAGAGAAACAAATATCCTGAGGCGCCATCTACATAAGAAAAATAATTCCATAAGCACACAATGTTGGCTGAATACGATTGTACGGTTCGGCTTTCCACTTTACTCACGGGTTTGCATAATACGGAAAATCAACAATAGATGGCGCTTTATGTAAATTGTAATAACTAATTTATATTAAGTTACGGTTGCATTAAAAAATGAATAATTCTATATGGACAATATGAAAGTTATATAAGCGAATGTGTTTGTATAAACCACACTCTTGTACTAAAATAAAAACGATACAATAAATCAAAAGAATAACAATTATTTTTATTCTATATAGTAATATATAGTTAAATAAATGCTACATAAACTTAAACATGCTTATTTATAACGTTAATATTAGCGAAATTGTGTGAACCATTTTGATATCAGTATTACGTAGGTATGTAAAGGCAATAGTTTATATTGCCTTGCACCGAATCATCCTGGTCTACATAAAAGTCTATTGTTTTAAATTTAGCTAGACTTATAATATACTTTTATAATTTTGCTAATTAAAGTAACTAATGAACACTAATAAACTTAGTGAATAGTTGATATATTAATGTTAGTAGTAATGAAACTATTTATTGGCGACAATGGGTCATTCATATGAGGGAACGCGACAACTTGAATGATAATATTTTCATTGAACAATCACAACATCAAGATTAGAGTATTTCCAATACTTCCCTGATGAAATAATTACTTTTAATTATTAATTATTTCTGAATTATAATTTTTTTCCAATAGGATATTTTTATAAATCTAAAATATTAAATAAACTATGTTATGCAAAGTGTAACCGTATCCTGAAAATGAGAATGGAACCGCGAGCATCCGACTATCACAAAATATACTGTGATACCAAAGTGTCTCACGTACGTTGCCATTTCTGATCTAAGGGTTACTATATATTATACCATTGTAATCAACGATGTCATCACCATATCTCAGATTCAAGATATTTCAAAAGTCAACACCTATTTCTTTAATTTATATTTAGGTATGTTAAGTTATATAAAATATTTATATATAGGTAGACATTGTGTGACAACAGCGCTCCAATTAACTATAATATGATATCGAAAATTAAGATGCTACATTTACTCTTCCGAATCTCTACTATTCTAAGTCTAAATTTAAAGACTTTATATACTTTGGATCCACAATCTGGATTTGGAACAACTCTAACATAAAGTGGGTAGTAGTAAAGCAATTTAGCGTCAATTATAAACTATAGCAAAGTTCCAGTCATCGTGTCGACTCAGTTTGGAATATAATCATAACAATCACACAGCCCATTGCTATGAAATCAAAACATTTACCGAACCACAAAACAATCAGTCGCACGACGTTGCGCATACAATCAACATCGTTACCAGCAGTTAACAGAAAAGTAATACGTTTTCTAAGAAAATTACACGCTACAGTACTACCGATTAATGGAAACGCCTTGAAAATGTTTTGTTTAAAAAGTTGAGTGTTGAATAATGCGATGAATCGTAATACGTATTTAGTATTTTTCTCGGCTTTTGTCGTCATCACATTGCAGGTAGGTTTCAGTTTATACTCTTAAATATTTATTATTATACATTAAAAATAAACGTAACTGACGGTAGAGTATATTATAATAATAATCTCTTTCCCTATGGATTACTAGTTTAGTTAAATGCTTTTGATTAGAAAGAAACTTGGTTACAAATATTATAATAAAATTATGACATACCAATTAACATCGTAAAATATAATAAAATAAAATATTCAAGATTGATGATCGAACGAACTTATATTAGGCTTTCGGAAATAGTTTTTAATAGCCAGCAACAAATTCATAATTTTAAATATAGCACTTGTAGAGTTTTATATTTGACTAAGTACTAAATAATAGAATGTATCATCTCATTCAATTTGTATGAACACTCTAGTTCATACAAATTGAATGAGATGATACATATATTTGACATAGTTACTTCGGTATGTATGTGTATCTAATATATAAATTAGCATATAAATTTATTCAATTGTTCCCACATAAATTGTTCAACCTGTAATATTCCTAATTGACTTTTTTCTGTTTATTGTGCAAACATTCTGAGATACCATTTTCCTTAATTTCCTACCCTTAAACTCCGACTCACCATGAAAGCGTACTTGAATCTTTTCAGAGTAAACTTCCTCATATTTCTTCAGCTACGGAATGTGTTTATACAAATTCTACAAATAGAACAAGACCAGTTTGATGTTTGTCTTTTTTGTCAAAATGTCGACTTGTACAACTACTTTTTCTTTTTATTATCGTGCCTTCATATGTATAAGCTACAAACGATATTCAATTTCATTGTGACAGATACATCTATTCTTTAATATAGCTTACTGAAGAAATAAATGAACAAATAAATTTACATACGCCACCTGCCGTTCTCGTAAAGATTATTAGAGATAATTTAAGCGATTTTTTACTTTACCAGATGTCTTTGTAACATATGTGAAGTCTAGTTTAGGCTATTTTGGGTAATTTAGTAATGACAAGAAATTTATTAAACAAAATACAAATTGACTAAACTACTAGTTCGACTAACTGTAGCTACATTTCGTGTCATCTAAATTATTGAATTATTCAGAACGGGTAAACCTGTTCAGTTGTTATAGAGGATTACACAATAAAACTGACTTACACAAAACTACACTACTCTCCAACTCTTAATTAAGTAAAAACAAATTACAATCGTACTATAAATTTGCAACAGTACCTACTCGTACTATCGGAACTGGGATAAGATTTACAACAAGTAGGTCCCGTCGTTAGCACAACATTTAGTCCAGCTCATTAGTTCCGACTTTCTTCCTTTTATTACTCTACGGTTTGTGTACGGAGTCTTAATGCGTGGCATGAAAGATAAACAACGATTTACATTTGGTTGTGTACAGTTAACAAGATTCGTTGCAAAGAAAAAAAGATAGAACGTTTAGTGTTATAGTAATAGCGGTATAGTAAGTGTTTATAGTATGTTATTTTATACAAACAATGCAAGAATCAGGTCATAAAATACTACATTAATATACAATGAAGATTTGATTCTTCAACTAGCCCTACTGCAACCAGAATTTAGGAACTTATATAGTAAGAGCAACATTACCACCTATTACTGCATTACATAATTAATTAACTATTAGATTATAAATTATGATACATTTGTTTAGTAATCAAATATTTTATATATGTTATAGTTGTCATCTCATCTGCTTATATACCAACTGATCTGCTCTGGTACTGCAACTGTTTTATTTTGTTGCTCTACTACTTGTATATTTTAACGCTTAATATTACTTGCTACTTTGTAGTTTGCATTCAAACAATATTTTAAAAATGTAAATTTAAACAACATTTATTTATAAAAAGCCCCGGCCAATCTTCCTGACTATTTCTTCTTAGCATAATTCAATCCGAATGCAGTGGTAGAATAAAAAGCTATGATTCTGACGCTTCTATTAAGTTTCTTTTAATAAAGATTTCTATTCTTTCAGACGACGGATTTCCAAGATAACCTAATAAATGGATATCGAGCTCTAATCGCTGATATCCAACTAAGAACACAGAAGTCGAGAGAGGATATGGATACACTGGTATCTCAAATAAAACTTTTAATGAAGAACGAAGCCGACAAAGCTATTAACTACATGACTGTGTACCTTGAACAAATATCTTTGTACTTTCAGGTAATTACTATATTATTAATCGGAAATTAAAATTGTCAATCAAGTTCTGTATTTGTTAGACATAATTTCGAATTACATTATTTTGAAAATTTATATTTAATATTTTCATTATGCGAACGCAAGTTTCCGTAATTTGTAATGAAAATATTATGTATAAATTTTCAAAACAATGTATCTCTAGATCTCGATATTATATTACGATATACGATTTTTTTAGAATAAGAATCATAATATATTTTAATACTGTCGATAAATATAACATATTTTCATTTGATAAAAATTATGCCTACTTAGAGATGACTTATAATGTTCTATACTCTTTAAGAACACTTATAAGTATAAATGAAAATTGGATAATGAAGCATATATCCTGAATAAATAACAGAATTATCACTTTTTGCTCAACATTAATGTTCATTGGATAAAGGAGTATATGTATACGCTATAAACCTACATTAGTCTTTTCTACAACTTCCTTTACTTAAAAAAGCCTTATATCACAAATTTGTAATAATTCTCCTCGTATTTTTGTAATCCGACTTTCAGGTAATAATTCACGACCGAAAACCCCGCAACGGAACTTACTGCAAAGAGAGCATCGTTAAGCTTCTCGGTGAGAACCTACAGTTGGCAGACGAGAACGTCACATTGTGTCTCGCACTCGGCTACCAGAGGGTGCAGAGATTGCCAGGTAAAAGAATTTGACTATTTAAAAGTATGGACGTACAAATATTATAAAATTCTTATCTATAAATATAAAAAATAAAAAATTGGAAGTGTCTGTTTGTATTATATTGTAATATTAAAGTAACCGTTCTTTACTATTATTTTATATTACGGTACATGCACCAAAATCACATTTTTTACAATTTTTGTATGCATGTCTGTCGGTCTGTTTGTTCCGGCTAATTCTGTTATTACTGGACCGATTTTGACTAGACTTTTATTGGCAGGTAGCTGATGTAATAAGGAGTAACTTAGGCTAATTTTATTTTAAAAAATATGTCTTTTTGAAAAATACAGTTTTATTTCACGAGGACGAAGTCACGAGTACAGCTAGTTTATAATATGGTCGTAACTGTTTCAATAAGAAGCCATGGAAAGTATTATGGACGGGTTGAAGGCCATCTCCTGACCGATATTACTTGTCTGAGGGTACCGCTAGGGGGTTCAAACCTAGGCTTAAATCGTCGTAATTTAGATATGCGTTGGTATAGTTTAGGGAATCGATTAAGGAAGGGATTTCTATAATATCAGTATGATAAGTTGTGACCGCGGTTTACTAAACTACTATTTAAACCGAAAAGCAATTACTTCAAATGTAGCATAAATCAATGTGCGTAAATTTATATATCCGATTGACTCTCTGGTAATGAAAATACCGATGAAAAAACGAAATTAATACACCATATAACCAAATAAACAAACAAATAGCTCGGCAGTAGGCTCGCAATGTGTCACTTTGGTATCCAATATACACGGCGAAATGTGACCATCACACCGTTCTATTTTTATCCAAGTATTATAATTCTTTAACCTTCACAACTTCATAGGACGTAGGATTATTCAAACTATGAACAGTCATGCAAAAACAGAGTATTATCTGATATAATTATAGCAAAAACTTAGACTGAATATAGAGAAATGAAAACTACATCATATATCAACAAAACTGTCCTCTAAAATAAAGGTACGAGTACAATTAAAGCGACAACATTAAGGCTGTGTTTACACAACGAGCACGTTGTTTGCGGAACGGGTTCCGGTGCCGAGGAAGCATTGTCAGACCACATAATGTCTTGGTTTTATTTTGGTACACCTTCCTTGTTTATCGGTCACGACGTTTCCGCCTCGTACGGCGGAATTCTGAATTGTTTCATAAATAATATTAATAAATAGTTTATATCTTTTTTTACGTAACTTTCAAACCAACTAGCCTATCTGACAATACGTGTGAAGCGTTGCCCATGCGACGACTTTAAACAAAGCCTACCTCAGTAATAACAAAAAGATGTATGTAATATATATAAAATGTATATGGTAACTGATAACATATAATCTTAAACGTTGTTTCTAATTGTTAATTTAAGTAAGTTGGCACTAACTAATAAAATAGTGTGACCTGATTTAGTTTCACCACCGCTTATAAAATTATAATGATTATGACCATAGATTATGATCACAGATATACTATAAAATACAGCGCAGCCATTAACGGCATTGAGACATAGAGCGAGCTTCCTATACTATTATTTAAGAAAACGACGAAATAATTATGCCTAAGAATATATTAGTCACAAAAGGCCTCAAAATATAATAAAGTAAAAAAAGACATACAAAAGGAGTATCAAAATAATATACAAATTTAAGAAATAATGATGTGCAAGCTTCCAGCAATAAGCGTCGGTTATATGTAAAATGTTTATGTTACAGAAAAACTTCAAGTTCACTTTGAAACTCTTGAAAACCTGAAAAAGTATTCGGCATCAAAATTATTCGAATGTCAAAAACAGCAACAAGTCGGAGGAAACTGTTCTCATGAAAGTCAAGACTTGGAGAGGACTGTGGTAAGATAATCTGCTTACGTAATCATTTTCTACCATTACCAATTGTAATTGTTTACTATCAAAAAATTATAGGGAATGTATATATACTATCTATTCCCACGACTTCATTTGCTTGAAATAGATGATGAATTTAGATACATACTTTCGCCCCTATTTTATTTCACCTCCTTAATGGTAAAATTTTTAAAAACTTTAAAAATCATAATCCAGTTTAATCAACAGCCTAAAAAATAAGTTTTAAGGGTCTAGCTTTGATAATGACGCTACATCCATACAACTATTCATCGGCCCTTTCAACCCCTTACAACCCTTTTTTTGTAATTAAATGTAGCCTTGTCCTTTCTCAAGGTCTAGAATACCTATATAACAAATTTCATTTAAGTTCGGTTCAGTAATTTTAGCGTCAAAACGCGACAGACAGACAGAGTTACTTTCGCATTTATAATATTGGGAAACAAAATGTCATCTACAAAATCATGTAACCGCCGGCTCATCAGATAGGCGTAGGTTGTAACATTGTCGTATATTCATTCATTATATTCATTTCGTATAACATTCATTAAACGCATATTACTGTATTTAAGTAAAAATATTATTTGGATAAAGTATAGTCTAAAAGGATTATTTTTAGATGACATTTTAACCTTAACAAAATTAGTATTCCATTAAGGCTTTAGTAATTAACTTAGATGCGGCAACATCTGGGTTTTCCCTGCTACCTACCCCTAAATGTTGTCTCCGGGGCAAAACTAAAAGTAGAAAGCAACACAGTAATTAAAATGTCATATTGTCGACTGTAAACATAATTTTCTGTGCCATATCCAGAATTTTCTAATTTACAAATGTACTTTTTCCTTTTCCTAATAATAAAAATATAACTACTTTATTGTATATTGTATAATAGTTGAATTTCTACGAAATTTTGTGAATAATAAAAATTTATGTAGGATACTGGATATACTGACATATGATCATATTGGTTATGAAACAAAAAATATAATCCTTCAGATTTAAATTTAATTAGTGTTTTTATTGCTAAGTAACAATTATGTCTTACGCGCGACTATGTTGAAATCAAAAGTGTATTATATTTACTGCTGTATATACACTGAATAGCTTCATCAGCATATTCATATTTACTCTATTACTTTATTATTCTTTGTAGCCGAAATACATCTTAGTCTAATTCTGGTTGTCTCAACTTTCTTAAACTGATGCAATATGATAACTAAACAAAAACAAGTAGGATAAAAGTACCTATACAAACAACTCTGTACAAAGTGTTCCTACATTTAAAAGAGAATCTTAATCATCATAAAAAGTTGAAAAAATTTTCTAATGATGCTTACATTTTTATTGTATGATAACAAATTCCATGAATAATATAAAGCAATGTCACTGGTTCCATATATATATTTCTTTGTACCTTGAACACGGGTTAACGATATCCTATGTGTTAATATAGGATATTATCTGTCATTATAACAAAATTAACTTGAATCAGTTGAGCAACTTTTGCATAAAAGCGTAACAAACACCTATTCATCTATTCTCACAAACTTTCATGTCAGTTCTATTAATATGACATTGCATACATTAAATTGTTCTTTTATTTATTGCAGTTCCTCTATGAAACATCACCGTTCCCAGTAGTGATGGCTGAAATTGCTATCCATGGGTTCAAAGAGGTATCAGACCTCAGCGTGTGTCTAAAGGACATAATATCTAGAATGATGACACATTCAGTAAAGGTGATCGGTGATTTCAACAGGTGTATTCACAATATTGAGATGCCAAAATTGAAGTATCTACTAAAGTTTATGAAGAAATATGCCTGATAAAATAAATGTAAATAATTTTTGAAGTTTTTATAGTCTCAAATATACAAAATAAATATTTAAATTGATTAAAAAAATAATCTAATAAAAATAATGTATATTTGGTATTTACAAATGATTAAGAATGGAATTCTAGTAATATTTTTTTATAAAGATGTTAACCATTTTGTTACCGAAAATATTTACATTTGCAGAAAGTAAGTCATAGTCATAATATCATAAAGATATAAATAATTTCCACTATTTTTTCTATAAATAGTCATTTTAAACGTAAAAATTAATTTCGGATAAATAAAATCTAAACAAAAACTCTACAAAGGTACATAGATACACTCATACATGCATATACATAAGTAGTATATTACAATTACACGGATTACTGGATGGAGTTACTATATACAAAATGTTGTTTTTGAAAATTATACAACCATTAGACAAAGAATTAAAATTATTTAAATTACCGGGACCAAATAAGAGCAGTGAATACATATTAACACATTTGCTCTCATTCGCAATTTAAATGTAACTTTATAAATAAAAATGCATTTGCGTTGAAAATTCATGATATCTCCGAGCACACCAACGCTCGGCGCCTGATATCTTATGCATTGCTTCCTATTCATACCATTGAATCAAGAATAGCCCACAAATAAATTGTAAATCTGAATTTTTATTAATATCGACTCAATTCTTGGGTAAATGTAGTATAATATTTCGAGGAAAACTTATCGTCGTTCCAATATTATTAGATACCTACTCTTTTATGATTATTTTTATTTCTAAGTAGTGAATAATATAATACACCACGCAATTAATATTTTAGATAAGATTCTACAGTTGAATGCGTACTATTTTTAAAATAGTACGCATTCAACTGTAGAGTCAAGAAGTTGGCAATGTCTTGCCAAGCCTTTTTGCCTTATATGGGAAGAACAATACCAAATATGCAAGCCTTTTTTGTATTGCCTTATATGGGAAGAAAAAACCTACATCTCATACATACATCGACATTATTGAAAGCTTTGATATATTTTTTTTTAATCTATAAACTTAAGACAATTAAACAAAATATTAATTTATAGAGCGCTATATTATATTATCACGAAATAACATAGGCAGTGGCAAAGTTAGAAATCCCTGCTATAACTTCACATACGCGATGTTTCTAGTCAGCTATAAATGAAATAAAAAATCATTTATTCATGTAGGACATTTTAGCCACTTATGAACGTAATTCTTTTTTAATAATAATATTTTATTAATAATTTTACCTATCGTCCAATTCAGTACACAGATTAAAAAAAAGAATTGTCAAGAAACTGAACTGAATTCCTTAGTTTTCAAGTCCGTTTATTTGCATTGTATACTTATGTAGGTGTCTATATCTTACATTAAATAGAAATACCATGGATGAACTACTATTGCCATGCAGTCATTCAAGTAATCGTTCAGTGTGTTGTAGGATTTGCTCAATAAATATAACATAATAACATCATAATTGAAATGATAAAATCTATTGCATTATACAATACTCAATTAATAGTAAGCTTTCATAGAAGTACATATGTACAACCCACATTAAATTCAATGTGGACGTTATGAGGTGATCTGCATACGTCAAGACCACAACCTACGCTCACATTTCAGCTGAAAGAAGACGTAGCAATAAAAACAATGACGTCACAAACAGACGTCACAAAAAATGACATCCGCATATAAACGAATTTATGAATATATATATTATCTCTACAGTAGAAGATAACTGAAGAAGGAAAAAAGAAATTGAAATACAGAAATGATACTAAATACAACGGCTGTATGGGCTTAGACTCTTAGCTTTTCTTATAAGGATAATACGACAAGTGACAATCTGTCAAATACAACCAGTTTGGCAACGGCTTTACCCGTATCTATAGAAATTAATATTATGATAACAATGAATTATACAGACGTACGACTAATACCTATATCTAAACCGTACATAGTAGTAACGTCGATAATATTGAATACTGGATCTAATGATGATATAATAATTTTGAGACTCGACAATTTATGGGAGTAAATCAAACATAAACCGTAATAAAGTGTAATAGGCTAGGGCCGTCATGGAAGTAGACCATAGGATTTGTTCCCGTAACTAATTATAATACAACAACAAAAACCCCTCAATATAAACAATACAATAATGTTTAGCTTTTATACCTATCAGAATGATAATGCAGATCATTAGATAATAGTTAAGGCTATTACATCAATTCAACTTTATCAACACTTTATCAGCTGATAGAAACTTCAACGTTCAATGTTATGATACTTAATTTAGAATTAACTACTATATATTGATCAATATACAAAATAAATGAAAGCAAAGTTTACCTAAATGTTATTATACCGTTTTTATTTTTTCGTTCACTAAATAATTAAATATTTCAAAAGTAATAAGATTTCAGGTGATACAAAGTTCATTAACATACAAAATATTTAAAACTTGACAAACATTTTTTAAATGAATAAAGTAATATCAAGACTCACCAGGGTAATCGGAATATCAGCAGAGCAGGGTTGATATTTCAACAACCTGCTAAACCTTAACGTTCGTTGCGCCATGGTTAAAGGTCCTACGGGTCGGGACACATGAATAAGCGGAGAGGGCGGCGGATGCGATGGCGGACTTGACGGTAGCGGTGGCATGTTTCTACGAACAGTTTCTAGAGGCACCGTTCTAGCAACTAGAGTATCACTGCCTACAGAATTCGCACTACCACTGAACATGTTCATCAAATCACCTATCGAACCGCCTCCGCTCGAACCGCCGCTGCATCGTAACTTGTCTAAATCGGTCAAACTGGACCCACGACGGACACGAAGGCGAGACACATTATTACTAGATCTATTTTGAAAAGTTTGATCGCGACGAATGTCCGCTTCGCTCGTTGCTTGGACCTTCCTACTTCTCACCATTTTGAACATTTTTAGAGGGTGTTATAACAATAACAACATATCACGACTAAAACCGTACTGCCACTGAAAGTTAACACCTGAAGCAGACGCAATTTGCATATAAATTACTGATAGGTGCGCTCGCGGCGCACAATCAATAGGGCCACGGTCGCCCGCAGGATGTCGCTATCGCGGCCTCGCGCATTTCCGTCGCCATCGCTTGCGCAATATATTCTAACCCCAATTGCATCTGTATTTCCATTTTTTCAAATTTTCTAATGTAACTGCATGCTAACAGTCGAAAGGCCGGTAATCAACTGAGCAGCGAATGCGTAGTTACATATGTGCGTATGGATGGAGCAACTCAGTTGAACTAATGAGGTGATCGGGTTCAAAGGCGCTCTGGGTCTCCGCAGGCGGCGGTATCCACTTAACCGATAGTCTGCGGGATGCTAGAAGGACTTTACTAAAAAAGTAAGACTTACTTAAGAATTAATGACAATGCAGAAAATAAAATTTATTTCTATGTAACATTATTATATTATTTAAATAAATAATATATAGAATTTTTCCTTAATCGATAAACATAATCCACGATGCTTACAGATCGGTAATTTAATTAAAGTTGCAGTAATGTTATGATAGTAATTAGAATCGAAATGATAATAAACTATAGTTATTTTTTTTTAATCTTAGTAGTCTATTATATTATATTATCATTAAGAATATAGTCACTTATGAAACTCTATAAAACGCATCAATAATAAAAGTATTCAAATTGCTTCAATTAACCTCTAATGAAACCATTAATATCTGTTAGTTATTTGTTTGTTATTTCGTTACAAGCCAATAAGCGCAGCTACTATTCAATTTATGGAGACATAATATTTAGAAGACATAAAACTAAATTGACTATTAATTTATTACTTAGACGAAACATACCTACAACTGTATGTCCGGTATTAACAAATACTGAAGAAGAAAATAAAGTGTCCTTATTTGATTACAGATCGAACCTACATCCGCAAATGAGAAACTGAATTAATTGCCTTGTAATTGCTTTATGTACTTAACTTAATTCACACTAAAATGCCTATACCGTGTCCTCGTTCTAAAAATTATCTCTAATAGTATGGTAATGCATATTTTGAGTACCATTTAGACAAAATCCTAATCTAATAATCTTTACTATATTTGCCTGGTAAATAAAGGAGGATATATCTTTCGAGTACATGTATTCAAGATTTAAAGTTTGAGGGCTCATTGGAATAATTTCGTATAACTTCGAGTTTAATAGGCTTCTTGCACTAATATTAACTAACTACTATAGTTTCATCGGCTGCTTTTACGAAATGAATCCTTATCACGTGTAAAGCGGAGATTTTCATTCATTTTATCTTACGTGCAATATTTATGATAAACAGGTCGATGATTTTATATCAATAAAATATTAACAATAGATTTATTTCCTACTACTTGTTACCGCACTTAATCTGTTTTTTTTTTTCAGATAAACGATAACCTATGTTTTTTGATGTTTGTTTTTTCCTTCATTATACAATCTGTCTTATTATTAATCTGTCAGTCAATTTATGAGAAACTAACGAGCCAACAATACATTTCGACATTTATAATATTAGCACTTACATACTAGTTATTTTCTTACTTCCACTTATATATTTCAAGCTATTGTTAGTTCTACATGTCGATTGACACACTTTAAAGTTACATTAAGTTAGTCGTGGAAATACTGGCTAACTACTTACCTCATTGCATAGAAACTGTTGCTTGAGCACCGAGGATTAAAATGTTCTAATTTCCATAACCTAATCGACTTCTCTATGTTGTTACAAACTGTGATTCTGCAAGATTATGTACATAATATACTAAAGACTGCATTATGCCTAAGAAATACCTAACAGACGATACCTAGAAGTATTAAAATGTTGCAATTTTAAAAGAACTTGCAGAGTTAAAAATATATATAACATTATACATTTTTAGACTCATCCAATCATTATGAGAAATATAATATACACTTAATAAAGGTTGAGAAGAACATAATATATAGGAAATAGATTTAATCAATGTTCGACCAAAATCGAGTGTGCAAGTTAGTACGACATGGAAGACGTAAGTAATATTTCAAAATTTCTATCTAACATTTAGATACATATTTTGAAATATTTATCTATTTGTCAATGCATGAACTTCTCCCAACAAATCCCTGAATATACAATGGAAATAATCAAATTAAAAACTTTTACTTTATTCTAGTATAAGTTTAGTTGTAATGGAAAACAATTTGACGAACCATTTAATGGTAATTATTATACGATAATTATTAAACGTGACTCATGCATTGCCATTCCGCAGGACTACATGTTATATGTAATTGATTTCAATGATTGTTTTGTTTTAACTCTGTAATGATAAAGTCTGTATACTGTAAACTTTCTATGTATTTATATTCTTATATTCCAACATGGAGTCAGCTATTATTCAAGGTCAAGCCATTAGGAGGTCAATACACAGAGTAACAACATTTTCCCATTTCCCAACAATGTGTTACGGTGCAATAACACAGCGGGAAGCAAGTACATTTTACTGAAGCACCGCCACACTAAACTTATCAACCGACTACCAAACGGAGAAGTTAATATTATATTATTAAAATCCTAGGAGAATCCACAGCGGCAACTAGTTCCATGCTAAGCAGACCTTGTGTTACGGGTAGTAACACCTGATATACTACGGTACTTTTTTTTGTAAATACATACCAAGCGTATACAGAAAGACCCAGACCGATTTTTGTACCGTGCGAGGAATCGAACCCACGACCATCAGAAGTAAAGTACAAGATGTAGAAATCATAAATGTTTAATCTTAAATTCTATTTGACTACGAAACAAGCAATTCGTTCTTACGAATTCTTTAAAAAAATAATTAAAGTAAATTTTATGTTTTTATTCGTTACTTCTTTATGCCTTCATAGCACAAACAATTATTACAATGATGACTTTCAACCGGCTTCAAAAAAAGTAAGAGGTTCCCAATTCCATTGTATTTTTGTGGGTTTTAGTGTTTTCTATTGTTATTTGTAATAATTGTATATTTGAAAACTGGTTACTCCAATGGAGTTTCATATATTTTTTTCAAAATCTGGTGAAGTTTAGGATAAATTAATACGAAAACAAAATATATTTTTATTTGCTGAACTTAAATACGCTCATGGGATATTAACAGCAGAAACTATTTTCAGCTTTTTGGCTTACAACTTTCTTAGAGAAAACACTATGGATTTCAAGAGGTTTTTGCAATGCCATCAAAGGATTATGCGGCTATAATTCTTGGTCAGTCGACGTTGAGTGGGACCGACCCGTCACTTTTTGTTAACGGATTAGGGTAACAGATAAGAGATTAAACCAAAACTACTTATATTTGAGTATAGTTGTACTTAGTTCCCCAAATTAATCTCGTAGTATGCTACGTATAGTATAGTATTAAAAAAATAGAGTTTATACAGTTAATCAGTACCTGACAATGTAATATGTCCATTTTCGATTGATGTTCAAGAGCTTGAAGATAGGAATAGCTTCTTTGTCATTTTTATTTAAAGAAAAGATACAAAAGATCAAGGTTATAATTGCGCATTCACACTAATTAGATAGCGAAAAAGGTATATTTATGCAGATAATTATCAGAGTGCCCAGAGAGAAATTGCGTGAATGTATTAGATATTATTCTATTGCACGATTTCATAAAGGTCGTGTATAGTGTTTAATACTATAAAAGAGTGACAATGATTTTTGTGCCATTAGTCGAAAAATATCAACAAAATTCAGTATGTTATACAGATAATAATTGCTAAGAGATATTTTTATATTCTGATAACTCACTGTCACAAGAAAAACTCAAGATTTATATCAAGGGTATTTCGATACGCATATCCTGATACATGTTATACTAAGATAATTAACGTCTAATAGAAACAAGATCGATATATCTTTGGGGCAATTAAATCGTTATAATCTCATAGCAGTATCTGTCATCAATGGGTCATTCGACAAAGACCCCCTACTGAGCGAGATGACTATTTCACACTAGTCTCATAGTAAATTGAACATTATATATAAGGTTATAGGGTTAAATAAATTCGAACCTATAGACAAATATACTAGAATCTCTTTTAATTCACTCCATATAATCTATCTATTGTATGTAGTATTAAGGTTAAAAGTATTACAAAAATATTATTCGTTGCAATAATAATCATTTGTAAAATATTTGCTATATACATTTTATATAGAATGTTAATAACTATAAACAAATATAGGGTGTATGTAGAGAGAGTATGCATTACTATCATATATAAAACAATCTCTACCGTTTATAATTTGACCAACAAAAGTCTCCATATGTAGTGCAAAAATTTACACCTACACGCTTAGTTGAATTTTATTATAATTAATGGTGTAAAGTGAACTTTATTTTATTTTTTTGGCTGGTTACGTTTACGTATTGATGAGATGTAATTAATATAGTGTATTATCTATTCTCATTCACGGTTTGTGTAGCTATAATGTTGGATCATACATGGATGTAGCATGTGAAATCAGAAGCCTATTTAAAATTGTATGTGTCACACATACAATTTTTATTTATTTATCTAATATTCATTGAAGATTAATATAGTTTATAAGATATTAATTGTACACGATCCATAAATTCATATATAGAGTATATTTACACGTTAACCCTCAATATATAATAGCATATCACTTACCTTATCCAATAACGAAAGCATTATTAATTCTCCATAATTTTCGTCTAAAGAAACATTGAAATAATAATATCAAAAAGTTAAATGTGGCGATGAAATCAGAAATCAATATAATATAAAATTAACTAGTAAGTAATAAAACATTTAAATTATATAAACCACTGTAAAAAAAATGGACATGAAAATAAACATATTAAAATAAAATATTATAGTAAACATATCGATAATTATGAATAAACTAGAATGA